CAGCATTGATCTCAAAGGGATACAAAAGACGTTGCATGACTAGAGGAAGGTCACAAGATTTTGCCAGTTGAGGTTGCTGCTAAACACGAAAAGACAGCAGTCAACTAAAGTAATGAAATTAATGAGACTTGCTCAGCAAGTGTGTCCAAAATCTCTGTGATTATTATATTAAGAAGCTTCAGTACTAACAAAAAATTAGGATTTTATGATAACCATTGGGAATTTAAGGAACTCAAACCAAAACAGAATCCATAAGCAATAAAGGAGAGTGAGGTACATTTTATCTCAGTAATGTGATAGTTAATTTGACATCAGCGGCATAAGAAAGTTTAATTATTAGGAACAGAGTTTTTCCTCCACAACTTGGTCACTTGAATATTACCTGCACATGATTTGGAGAGTGTAGCTATTCAAAAGCACTAACCAATTATTGCAACTTGCTAAGATAAGTTGAGAACAAACATTATTACAGTATGTTCATGTGTAATGGATCATCAAAAGGACTTCAAATACGTCTTTTTCTATACTTGATAGAAATCAGATTCAACAATAATCACAGAGTGAAACTCATGCCAATTGCTGTATTACATAATCTGATCAACGTCAATTCTCAATCAAGTTTGGGTACAGAAAAGACAGGATCATATTAAGACTTCCACATGAAGAAAGAATTAACCTGGTTATGTCCACGAAGCAATGATCTCAAAGCAGTATTGATATTGAGGATGCGAATAGCACCAGGCTTGAGTCCATAGCAAATGTAATTCCTATTAACAGCAATCTGGCGGCCAAGAACAAGGCCAGGATCGGAGACATATTTGGTGATGGGTGTGACTTCAAGTTGAGGCTGCACCTCACCTTGCAATCTCACATCAATATCATACACCGCATGGTTGCCATTCAAATGCCGGCCTTTAGGGAGCTTGGTACTGAGCATCCTCACAGGAGGAGGACAGCATTGCTGTGTCGGAGATGCTAAACTAACAGGAGGGGCAGAAGGGGCAGGAGGAGCACTGGTGGTGATGGATGCAGTGGAGGAGGCCGAAGAAGGAAATGGCCCAGTTAGATTAATGGATATAGGAGGCTGCTGTTGGTTTTGATTGGTCAAGATCTCCATCAAAACAGCACCTCCTGAATTATTAGGTGACAGTGGAGGAGGAGAGGGTGAAAAGGAAGAGATGGGCTGTGGTCTGCTTTGGTGATGGATGTTAGTATTAGCGATGAACTGATTGTGAAGTTGCTGAGGAGGTGGAGATGGGTAAGGGGAGAGATAGTGAGGGTTGTGAAAAGGGTGGTAAGGGCCAGTAGGAGGCGGATAAGAGGAAGATGGAGTCAGATAAGGTGGCGAAGAGGAAGCGAGAGGAAATGAAGGAGAGGTAACGAGATTGCCAGTTGTGGTGGTGTTGCTATTGGGAGATGGAGGAGAAAGACCTTGTTGCTGCTGGATTTGGGGTTGCATCATATTCATAGGATTTGAAGAAGAGGGTTTAAAAAGTTTATTAATATCAAAACCTCCTCCTCCTCCTCCTATTACTCCCCCACCGCCTTGTGGTTGTTGATTTGGATTACCAGGTGAAGCCATTATTAAGCAGCAATGACACCAAGTGATCTGATGATATAATATAATATACTGGTAGTAATTGCAACCAAAATTCAATCAGATTGATCAAGAAAGAAAGAGATGGACAGATTTGAAAAGGCTTACAGAGTGGAGGAACTCATGGATCGGTTCAAGTTTGAATCTTTTCCCAGATCAGAAAACAAACACTCCTCTCTCTTCCTATCTCTGTCTCTGGCTCTCTCTGTTTGTCGTCCCAAACAAAGGTAGGGTTAGACTGAAGAGAGAAGAAATTGAAGAAGAAAAAAGAGGGTTTTTTATAATAGAGTTGAGATGCTGAGGTATTTCTAGACTGCCTTTCGTATAATACAATACCTTACAATGCCTTTGCCTTTCTATGGATGACACATGGCAAACAAAACTTTTCAACGGTCATGATGATGGTATGTTCATATTTTTTATTTAAAAAAAAGACAAGTCATTTTTTTTTCAGTAATAGTCCTACCTAAATTAGACAATTTTATTGTATTTGAAGTTTTTAAATATGGAAACTATAAAAATTGAAACTTTACGTTGAATAATGGTTTAAAATAATTTTGAGATTAGATTTGAGTTTATTATTTCTTTAAAGTACGTAGATGTGTTTTTTTTAATAAAAAACGAATTAAAAAAATGTAAATTGAATATCAATGATATACAATATATCTTGATAATAATGCAATGAAAAATAACTTTTGAGATTAGATTTGAGTTTATAATTTCTTTAAAAGTACCTAGATGTGTTTTTTATTGAAAAAGAAAATGAACTAGAAAAAAATAAATTAAATATCGAGAATATATAATTTATTTTGATTTTTTCTATTTTAATATATCGTCACATTAAAATAGATCGTTTTAAAGTATTTAGATGTGTATTTCAGCCAAAAAAAAAAACCATTAATTGAATATCAAAAATATATAATATATCTTGATTTTTGGTATTCTACTATATCATTTGTCAATACCATAATGATCGAAAAATGCATCGATGTGGTTTTTTAGTAAAAAACAAACTAGAAATAAATAAATTAAACATAGTGAATGTATAACACTTCTTAATCTTTCGTATTTTAATATATTATCGATCAATATCACGCTACCGTTAATTATCATTATTTTAATAAATTAAACAAACGAAGTTTTTACTATGAATAAGAATTATGAAATGATGGTTTACTTAGTGCTCATTCATACTTAGTTACACTGTAAATGTATAATTAATTTTATAATACATCGGGAGTAATTAGTGATAATGTACGATAGTTATTCCATCGACTCATTTTGAAGAGAGAAATAGATAAAAAAAAAAACAGAAGAGAGAAAATAAAAAAATTTGAGCAGACGTTAAAATCTTCTTATCACTTTTGATGGGTATGAATGCAATTTTACTATTTTTTTGTGCATTTATCTCTCTCCTTAAAGTTAAGCACATGAAGTAATTATTATACTTGTAACTCAGTTACTCTTGATGTATTATAAAATTTCTCTTGAATGTACTGTGCGCACTACTTCTTTCTCTCTTGGCCGTGTGTTCTTCTTGATCTCTTTTTGTCCGTTCGATTTGCTGTCGTTATTTTCTTCTGTCCTTTCTGTGTTGTTGCCAGCTGGGAGAGAGGGGGGCACTTTGGGCAGTTTGCTTTTAGGTGTCCTTTTCTTCCGCCCTCTTCTTCTTTGCTTATTTTACTTTCTCCATAGTTTCTTTTGTCCCCTTTTCTCTGTTGATGGGCTTTTTAATGCTTCTTTCTCATAAACGATTAAAGTTTTTTTTTTCCTTATAATATATATATATATACATATTTTTTTAATGTTTATAAATAATAAAATATGTTTATATTAATTTTTTTTATCATTTTGGTATTAAAATACGTCTAATTTTTAAGAACACAATTATGTAATAGTCCGAAGCAAGGCTATGGTTGTTAAGTAGTGCAAATAACAATCATTATTTTTGGTCGTCAACTTGGAGAATGGAGAATGGAGAATGTCATCAGCAAAGGTAGCAGACAATCCACCACTTCTCCCACCTGCCCTTGTTGGTACACGAAACCCAAGTTTGCATCTTAACTTCCCAACTTGTTCAACTCGTAACTGAACTACTTAGTATGATACTCTCTTCTGCAAAATTTTCACTGTTTTTACTTTCCTAGGTTAAAAAGTAAAATACCAGGTTGTTGTCTCATCCGCTGTTTGGAGAAGGAAACTTCCATCCTAGTCATGTTCAAAAAGTTGGCCAAAATTATACAAATCGGTAGGGTAAGATGAGAAAATTTTATGATACACAAAGGAGTAACTAGTGACATGTATAGTAGTTACTCGTTTGGCTCACTTTGAGAAAGAGATAGACACATAAAAAAAAGAAATTACATGTTCAAATTTTTTTATTTTCTCTCTCCTATTTTTTTATTTTCTCTCTTTATTTGTCTATCTCTCTCTCAAAATGGATCCAAAAGTAAGCTATCGTACATGCCACTAGTTACGCTCGTGTATTATAAAATTTCTCGGGCAAGATGATGCATTTATTCATGCAAGTAGAAGTTAAAAGACATATTACGTTGCGAAACAATTGTTATAAAACCGTAAACCGTTTAATACCTGTAATAATAATAATAATAATAATAACAATTTTATACAACAAGAACGACTATTATTGCTATTATTTAGTAAATAACGACTGTTATTATTTTTTTAAAAATAGATCCTTCAGATATTGCACGTTATAACTTAAATTCACACAAATAATAATAATAACAATTTTAAATAACGATTATCAATAACGAAGATAACCGTTATTGCTATTATTTGGTAAATAACAACTGCCATATTATTGTTCCACAAAAGAAAATACTTCTGACCTTTTGTTATGATAAATCTATAAACAACGACATCGATTGCTGTGATTTTTATTTTATTATCAAAATAAATCACAATCTGTGATCACAATCGTGACTATTTTACAACAGCATCGGAGATTTAAAACTATGGGGGAACTATTATTTATTTAACCAATGATAATTTACTCTGAAATACAGGAACGGTAGCAGATGAAAACAAAGCTAAAGAGGCCCCACAACAAGTCGACAGATTAACACAAAGGAGAATACTTTCCGGCTATTTTTTTTTCACAATTCAAAGGTTTTGTTTCAACACAAATACGGAAAGAAAGGAAACTAGAACAGGGCAGTGTCAAAGGGAAAAGAGAAGCAGAAGAGCAACCCACGGATTTACAGTCAATGGACACGACATCAGGATGGATTATACATATACGTTATACCCTGAATAGACAGGCACTTAAAGAGAGAACAAGTCACCATATTCAGACTTGAAAAAACAGGGGAAAATGTTAAAGAACGGAAGAAATGTAAATGGGTCGCGATCAAGTATCGCAGCAAATAGGTATCCAATTTCAATTGCAACAGCCTCCACCTTGAGTAGAAACGCCATCCCTGCCTCCTGATGGCCCCGGAATTCCTCCATATCCAACTTTTATCCCGTAAGACTGCAGAACATCCAATTAGAAAATCAGGCACACTATTTTCAATTTTCTCTAATGATACTGGGGAAATGGCATCAGTGTGTCTACATACATACTGACCATGCTTCAAAATTGTCAGTGCAAATTGAAAAGCTAAGTTGAGAATGGATTGAGCTAATGTAATGTACACTCAGATACCAACAGTTGAAAGATTGATAAGAAACCTTATGGAGTACTATAGAATTGTCACTCTCACTCATATCTTTTCATGAGCAGAAGATAACAAAGAACAATGTCCAAGCAAGCGAAAACAATATAGCTAAATTTCAAAAGTTTAAGCTTCATATAATTAATAAGTGGAAAGCAGCCAATTGAATAAGGCCAAATGAGTGTAGCAGAATGCAAAAATCCAAATAGAATATCAACCAAATCATTTGCAACTTTCATCTAACAACATAAATGAAGAAATGAATGCCAGCATCGTGCCCCTACATGCATTAACCATGCTTCAATCAGCAAAGCAAAACGACAATATAAGGTAACAAAAAATATTAAGGTCACAAAACCTTGCATGTCAACAATATGAAGATCGAAAGAAGAAAAATATTTCAATTTGAAAACCCTAAAGCACTCATTAACAATCAGAATCCAGATCTTGACACAAGAATACAAGGTGAAAAAGGAACAGCCAAACCATCAGAACAAATATAGTCAAACTAGGAAAAAAAAAAAAAATTAAGCTTCGTATAGAAAATATAAAGCAGCCAAAAGCTTTAGCAAAGATCAAAGTTCTGAAAAGCATGATTGAAATGTGGAATAACTGTGCATAAGAAATAGGTCTAACCTCGTTTGATACATCAAAAACTCCATCCAGAATCTTCTTATATATTGTTGCAGCTGTTTTAATAAAAGCCTGCACAGAGAATGTTGCTGTTAGAAAAATTAGACAAACAAGAATGAATAAGTCCAAAAGTGTTTCAAGTACATAGGTCTTAATTTTATTCACCTCCTCGACATTCTGAGCAGTTTTGGCAGAGGCCTCCATGAAGATCAAGCCATGTTCCTTTGCAAACTGTTCACCTTCTTCAGTGCTGACGGCCCTTCTATGAGCAAGATCACATTTATTACCAATGAGCATAATGGTCATGTTTGCATTGGCATGCTGCCTTGCATCCTCCAGCCAGCTAGCCAAGTGATTAAAAGTTTCCCTCCTGAATGAGAAAGTAAAACATCCAAATATCATTCAGTTAATAACTTATGATACAGTATCATGGCATCGACCATAATTCTACGCACACATTTCAATGCAAAAAGAAATTGTCCTCAGTAGTTACGCATGTCCAGGATTAGATAAGCTTCGACAACAATAGCAGTTTTAAGTAATTCAACAGCTCATATGTAAAAAACAATTGAGCTCATTTTCAAAAGTTTGTTTTACACAAGCTAAAGCAGGGTTTCAAACAATTCCCTTTTGTTCTTGGCTAGAAAGAAGCTAGAAAGAAGCACAAAGCAAAAGAGCAGGAGTACATGCTACATAGTCTAAGCAAGAATCAATAATACCTGGTAATATCATAGACAAGCAAAGCGCCAGCAGCACCTCTGTAATAAGACCTGGTGATAGATCTAAAGGATTCTTGACCCGCCTAAAATCCAAAGAAATTAAGACACAGTCCACAGATTAATTAAAAGAAAGAACATCCAAAATCCAAAATTGATAATCGGAAAGGAAGGAACGAACTGTGTCCCAAATTTGAAGCTTGATAGGCTTGTTGTCAATAGTGATCATACGAGCCCCAAATTCGACACCAATGGTGAGGTCATGCACTGGCTGGAATCTCTTGTCCGTGAATTGCAGCAACAGGCACGATTTCCCTACTCCTGCAATCAAAACCATCAAAATCAAAACCAAAACCAAAATGAAAATCATGAAAATCAAAAGAAAAACAAACGAACCAGTGTCGCCGATGATGATGTACTTGAAGAGATAAGCGTATGACATTTTTCCGTTTCAAATTAATTAAATTACGATCAGATCAGATTTCTTCTTTTCTTTACGATTAAGGAAAAGAAAAAACTGATAACTGAAACTTGCTCACGGACTGGACCTTGTTGATAAATAAAAACAAACAATTTGTTATTACTAAAGTAGTCAGGAGAGAAAGCAAAGGCGCGGTGGTTTGCTGCATTTAGTGGATTTCTCCAGCGATGCACAGACGTAATTAGTCTTTTCTTTCTTGTCCTCGCTGTCTTTTCCTCTTCAGCCTGATTTTCTTTTCCTTTCTTTTCTTTATTTTTTTTATTATCATTTCGCAGACCAATGCATTAGCCCACTGGACCATTACCAAACATCATCATGGGCCTTGCTCTTTTCAGGGAGGATTAGTATTTCCAACTTTTAAATTAAAATTCCTGCTTAATAAAAAAAATAAAATTTACTACTATTATTTATCATCCATATCATCAAATAAAATTCCTATTATTTATTTATTTAGCTCCAAAGACCATGATCAAAGATAAAGAGATCCCGATATTATTACTCAAAAGCTAAGGTGATCATTCGGTTTTTCGATTGAGTTTTGTTTTTTGTTTTTTTTTTTAATTTAGTTTTTTGTTAACTAAATTGATTAAAACAAAAATTAAAATCGAACTGAATTAAGGTTTGATTTTTTGGTTAAAAAAATAAAATTTTCAGTTAAAAATCGATTTTTTTCTTTTGAATTTTGATTTTCTCTTGGACCAAGCTGAAAGGTCATTTTTTTTTTTCAAAATATACTAATAATTTGAATTGAAGTTTTAACAAAGAAAATCATAGGAAAATGCTATGAGTCTTGTCTGTGTTAAAAAAAAACCTGAACCGAACCAAAATAATTTTGGTTTTGATTTTTTTTCAAAAGTTTTATATAAAACCGAACCAAAATTATTAATTCGATTCGATTTTTCGGTTTTAACTAAATAATGTTCACCCCGACTTTAAAGGATATTGATAAAAACCAAATGAGGGTAGTGTCATATATGCAACAATATATCACTAAATAAGTCACTCTTAGGTGAGCTAGGCGATTGTCTTCTCTCAAAATATAACTAAATAAGATTATCTATGAACATTGACAAAAACAATAAATATGAGAAATGATGTTATAATACAGGTGAGAAGAAGTTAAAATAATCTTAACATGTCGACATGAATTCCAATGCTTTATGGAAAGAAGAAAACAATGTATGCTGCTGGTTTGTACGAGACACAGAGAGGACTCAGAACAGTGATAAAGCAGGCTCGGCAAGGCAAAGTTTCGTTGAAGAATCATGCATATGAATTGCTCATAAAAATATCATATAATAATAGTACTGTTTGTTAAGAATTAATTTATCAATTACAACTAAATCGGTCATAATTATATACATGCTATACTGCAGAAGTGCAGATTACAGATTACAGATTGCAGGAAGGGTCTTATGAAAATCTGAAGGGGCCTGCCTCAGAACCAAATATCCATGTCCCAACCGCTGTTATTGGAGGGAATTATGGTTACTACCAGGAGTTTATCCTCTTCTCTGTATATAAATTCTTCATCTTTTCCATTTATAGAGCAAGACTTTGGCTTCACACTGGAGTATCCACCGAAACTGCCTGCCCCTCTTCCCTTGATCTGTATTTTACTAGAGCTAGATGAATCACTAGGCTGTTCAACTGACTCAATGGCTCCACCAGAGTTGTACATGTTCATCATTCCAATCGCTGCAAACTCAATCTTCTCATAGTAAACCTGCGGAAAGGCAAAGAAATCGCACGAATTTTCGGATTCTTGAGCTCTTTAATTGTCAGTGTAATTAAGCTGAGTTCAAGAGATTTGGTAGAGTAATAATTACCTTGATAGGTGATATGGTGAAGACATCACATTGCAGAGTTTTTAATCCAACAGCAAACTTTCCTTCCTTCCGTAACCGAGACAGCCATCCTGAAACATTGTAAACATTTTTGCCTGTCAGGATTTTCATGATGCAGGATGTTGTGTTTCAGAATATTAGTACCATGTTGAGTTCCTTATGTTGCTTGTGCTAGGATAAAAAAAGGCCATGAAAATGTTACCTTTATTGAAAGAATAGATTGCACAATCTCCGGTCCACAGTTTCCCAGAGACCTCTTCAAAATACTCAACATCAGCAGGGGAAACCTCTCCAGATATCTCTGCAGTAACATGTTTATGGTTTGTGATGTCCAGACAAGGCCAGCTTCCTGCTCCTTGGCAGTTGAACACACCGATAACTCCAGTACATTTGTTCAAATTCCAAACCTTCAGAAGACTAAAATAAAAAAAAAATTCCCAAATAAGTCAGGAGGGAATAAGTGAAGTGAATTTAATTGAATTTCATGCAAGTGAAGCGAGAGAGACACCTCTTCCCATCCATAACTGGATCAATGAATAGGCAATCTTTTGATGGTCTTCCTGGATATTTAGCTCTAAGCACTGATCCATCAGGAAGTACAAGCCTTTTAAGTATCTTGAAATCATGATGACCAGGTTTGTCACTGTCGACAATTTATAGCAACATTATTCAGATTTTTCTGAGATATTTCATTATGAATGTGAAAAGTAGGTGAGAAATTAAGAATTCGGACACTATACAAATCTTACCTGACATAGACAGCACACCCTCCTACAGCTCTTGCGATAGCATGAAATTCAGCTGCATCATGGAGGCTCTGCAATTTGTTGAGATGTTCGTAGATTATCAGAATTAGTAATTAGTAGATGTTTTTTAAAGATGAATAATGAGTAAGTCCATACTTACATAGAACATATCCCAATCTGGAACAAAAACTTCACCAAGAAATATGCTGTTAAAAGACACAGCAGCTATGTGCAGCGTCTGTGTGGCTGGATTTTGTGGATAGTAATCGTCAGAGGCCCGTGTGATAGCACTTCTTTTTGAGCTGCCCTAACAAAAAGGATATTATTTCCACGACAACCTGGATATTATTTCCTGAAAGCACTGACCTAATGGATGAAATTTATACGATACAGTGACATTGTGACACTACCAAAATAATGCTAATTAAGAACATTCTACAAGTTCCATCACTGTTCATGTTTAAGAAGTGAAATGATCTATTTAATTGTGAAAATATACCCAATCACACAGCTTTAACAATCCATTCATCTGTTACATGTTATTTCCTACAGCTGCAACTAGTCGGATTGATAAAGTCAGTCGATTCATGCTATGAAAAGGAAGTTTTGGACCACACAGAAGCTAAGTTTTGCTGTGTTTTCTGGCTATTGATCAGGTTGCTCAATATTCGTGTACTCTATCCAGGATGCTTTGTTTCGAGTTCCTGAAAACTTCAGAATAAATGAAAATAGGAATAGAAAGCATAAGATACTGACTGGTAAATGGAGTCTGTGCTCAGACCCATACAACAGATAATGCTGTTGTCTTGGAAGTTGGCAGCTATAGACTTCTCAAGTGCTTCTTGGAAATGTCTGGTAAGTGAGACTCGGCCTCCGAAACCATTTGCAATAGTTTCCAGTATATTCTGAACATCAACCTTAACCCCATCCACATTCTGTGAAGCAAGGTAGCGGTGTAGATCATCATAAAACTGAGATATTCTTTCAGGATCAATTGCACCAATACCATACTTCTCCATACAATCCATGGATAGATCCCTCATATTTGCCAAGTTCCCTGGCGACTGCAGTGGGTATGTTAATCTGGGATTATATTTCTTAGTTTCACGAGCATTGGGAACAAGACCTCCCCAATATCCCAATAGGGCATGCCATACATAGACGTACCTGAAATTTTGGAAAGTCAAAAAGAAGAAGGAATTCAAGAAACTTCAAGAGAGGAAGAACATTAAGATGGAAGTTATGCTGATGCTTGTGCACTTGGTCTGCTTGAAGGGCAGTTGCTATGAACTCCTCTGCACCATCCCTGTCTACTATTATCATCAAGTCCCATGGACTATTGCCACCAAAAGAAAAGAGAAAAAACCTCTACTAGACATCATGGGATGCTTACTTAAGGCCAAAAGTCCTCTTAATATCTGCAACAAAATGTTTTAGATTATTCGGTGCATCACCCAGAGATTCGTTGGCTGTTCTCCGAAATTTGTTGTTTTCTTCAATGCTGACTAACCTGCCACCGAACCTGAAATTTGGGAAAATCAGAAAACCTGCATTTTCTATATTAGCATTAAAGGAAAAGGGATAAACTTACTGTGACCCTTCAATAAATGGCTCTCCTTCTTTTTGGAATTCATTAGTTGTATCCTGCCAACCATCATCTATTATCAAAAGCTTTGCTGGCGTGCCTCCCTCGGATAAACTGCGAGAGTGAAACGAAGATGAATTTAGAACTTCCATGCCAAGAACACTTGTTTTTCAGATCATTTTGGAAGTCACTGCTGAAAATGTAGAAGAATTAAGGATTTAAGATTAACCTTTTTAAGCCATCTTTTATTCCTTGAGGATTTACTTCCTGATAAAAAGCATCCCAGGTGCACCAACCAAACACATCCAGTATTCCTGGCATCTGCACGGTGAAGCATCGAAGAAATTCATTAATTCTTAGGCTTTCATTGTCTTCATTTTTTTTCCCTCAAGCAAGAAAATGTGAAAGGTCTGTATAGAGTAAACAATAAGTAGTGGCCTAACTTGCCTGTTTCGTTTCCCTGATAGAAAATGTTCCAGCCTGCTCCTCCAAAATCCTGCGTACGGTGCAAAGAAGATGTAACAACAACAAGCCAAGAAGGTAGAAGCCTACCTACTCATGGTCTGATCATAAGATTTTTTATTCATTTTGCTGCTCGATTTAAATTCAGGCTACAATTTAACTACAATACTTCAATGGCAACGATATTACCCCATTTGATTTCTAATATTTCCATTATAAAAGAAAATTTCTAATATTTCCTGCAGAAAGAAACTGAAAGTTGCTCAGAGGGCTGACCTACTTCATTGATTCCTTCACTAGATCAAATGGATGGTTCCCGTGATTCACAAAAACGGCTCTTATGGATTCTGAAGTAACTATAGCAGGGTCACCTATCAAAAACCACAGAAAATACCATACCTTAAACCCTAAATACAGAGAGGAAAAGGATGAAATAAAATTAAGATAGCAAATTACCACTTTCAAGACAAAACTCAAGTTCATTTGATGAGTTCCCTTGCAAGCTGCTTCGAAATTCACCATCTAGAAAAGGCAAGAATAAGATATAAGAAGGAGAATCATTTGACTTATCTAAATCCTGCCCTTTCCTTGCTTCCAACAGCAACATCTGGGTTTCAATAGGAATGTCACTTCCTGAATTCCCCACTCTAGGTATCATCCACCAAACTTTAAATCTAAACAGACTTAGTAGTCTCACGTCCCTGCATTGCACAATCATATCCTAAGAAAACTTCCGTTCGAATTGAAAATCCTTTTCAGACTAAATAACAAAGCAAGGTAACAACAAGAGGGGCCTTACAGAATAACTCCAAGCTTGAAAACATGTCTGGAACTGCTTTCTGAGGAAGTAGCCCCCAAGAATGCTGACGAATCCGTCACAGGTGTAAGGAAGACATTGTCAGGCACTCCTGTAATTGCTTCTTTCCCATTTAAACTGAGGGTGCCATCTTTTAATGAGGGTTTTGCACTGACAAACATAGAATGCTTCCATTTGTTACAATTGGTCTTATTGAGACGCAGAAGAGACCTGTGTGGAAAGAATCTCAGGGTCTGGCTATTAAAATGCTGTAACAATGTGGAGGAGGAGAAGAAACAAGAATTGGATTTCAGAGGAACTGGTAAAATGTTCATGTTCAGAGGGGTTGTGGTGTGTGTGTGAAACATAATGTTTAAGGTTGGCTAAGAATTTAGAGTTTGACAGTTAAAAAACAGACAGACACTGAACTGTGAAGACAGCAGATTGGTGGGAAGGATATATCATCTAATCATCTGTGTGTGTGATGTAAGATGAATTCCAAGTTGATAGGGATAAAAAAAGCAAGAAGCTATGAGTTTTTTGGCCTTTTGTCTTTTTATCACGTCTAAATTTGGATATGTGCATATGCTAAAGAATGTGTTGTCATTTTCTATCTTATTTGGAGTTCAACTATCCTCTCATTTTTTAGGACATATCTGCCCCTTTGAAACTTGATTCATAGCAGTGGTACAAATTAATGCATCAAACTTTTTCCATTTATGACATTTATCAGAGTTTTGTTGCTCAGACATCAGAATTACGATTTACATAGCCCAATTAGGAAAAACAACAGTATTTGGTTGATCTTAGATTAATGCATGAATTATCACTACATAAGACAACGTTCCTAATTATTTCTACTTATCATCACCAAAAGAAACTACAATAGGACTCCTAACATGATGTCTACCATCTGACCATCAGAGTTTGTGGATTTTTACAAGGCCAAGCTAGAAGAAAAATCAGCCATTACTGGGGACATTGTAAGATTGATAAAACCTTCAATATCTCCGGTGTGACAATACTTGGCCCCCTAGAAGAGAAATCAGCCATTATTGGAGCAGGCCTTGGGCCCAAGTTTGCTTTTGTACTAGTAATGTATCCCTGAGGATCTCTGTTACATTATACTATAATTCAGAATCAGACAAAGCCAATGCGTGAAGTGAGTAGACAAAGGTGAGAGTAGTGGAACATACTCAGTAGAATTTATGTAGTCAAATACGACAAGCCCATCTGCGTAGGTGATTTCTGATGCTGGCAGGTTGTAAGGCTCTGCATCGATATCGTTACCCCATTCCTTATCATTGCAAACAATCATCCCTGCTGCACCAGCCAAAGAAGCTTGGTAGCCCTGATCCAGTTTTGAAGTTTCCCGGCTGGTTAGACAGACCATGATTTTACCCTTGGCCTTCTTATGATCCAATGATCCTGGCTTACAGTGCATGCTGCATAACACAAAAGCAATTAGAATAGTTTATAATGCCTCCTACCCTCAGGCCTTAGTAGCATCAGAAGTAGATATATTTTCTTCTACAAACGTCGTCAAAAAGAAGAAATTTAAAGTAGTTTGCTCTTACGCGTCTTTAATAGATGCATTGGCAAGTGAAGAGGTGATAAAATTTATCTTCAAGTGAAGATCCTGAAAAGCTTTTACCCTGCTGTGTGGTGAATGGAAAACACTTAAAGAAACAATGAAAACTATAGGATAAGGCTGGCTTCAGTGAAAGAATGTGAACCTTGAGGCGTTTCCCATTGCGAAGTTCAACAAAAGCTTCGAACCACCTTTAGCAGTTCCATTTGCTAAGCCATAAACATTCGCCCCAGGAACAAAGTTGCCTCCTGCGGTTGAGAGGGTGTGAGTCCCATGGCCAACTTTGTCACGAGCAGAATTGTTTTATAAATGGTAAAAGTGGAGTTTGTTTACCTAATTAACATGACTAATTAATAATACTTTCAAGTTCTTCCACTTCAAAACCTGATAATTTCAGCAAAACCAGACCAAATCATAGTAAGAATTTGTCAATCTGAAGACTATATATAACACCATGTATCATTAATGAAATGGACCTTCTCTGATGCAATATTAAGGGGAGAGTTGCTTATAGCATGTTTTTCAGTTTTTAGCCGATTGTAAAAATCTTAGCATTTTCCATATGGTCCAAAGGCTGAGATGGATTTCCGTTTTGTGAGACTAGTTAATTAATTTTAAGCATCACTCCAATTAGTCGTCAAGATGGGATCTCTATATATAACCACAAGGTTGTAATCTTGTGGTAAACAAATATTAACTTATAAATTTGTTCGAAGCAATCACACAATTGAGTCCAGAGAAAATTAGAAAATCAAAATAATATGTGTATTCTCGTACGGTATTTAAAATAATAATAAGAAATCATAATAAAATTTAAAATTTTTAATATCTGATTTTTAAGATAAATAAAAATAATCATTAATTTTTTTTATCAACTACAATGATAGTAAAAATGATAAATGTGATTTTGACAGTGATAATATAGTATAAAAGGAGTGGTGGTGGTATAATAAAAATGATTATAGTAGTGAAAGAGGAGTGATGGTAGAATAATAATAATAATAATAATTTTTCTTTTTCTTTTTTTAATTACTATTGCCAATAGAGGCGGTTGTAGAAGTAGTCGATACATGATAAATAAAAATAATCTATCACTATTTTGAAAGAAAAAAAATTCATTTCCATTTTGTATTTTTATTCCCAACTTTTACGTAATAATAAAATTATGTTTAATTTTTATTTTCATTCTAACTCTTCGTTTTCATTCTCACTTCACTTCTTTCAACTAAACTTGCAAAGTGAAAATAAAATTTCCATTTTTATTTTTATGATTATATTATTTTTACCAAACAACACCTTTTATTCTATATTTTAATTCATTAGTCCCATAATCTTATTTCCATAATCAACGTAACTCTACATTAACATAATGTTTCTTTTCAACTATAATCCAAGCAAGTCTTGATGAGAATGCATCAAGATCAGCATTAGAAACTTGAGGACCATGTGCATGCGATCCCAATCAGACTATATTAGACTTTATAACATATCACTAGAGAAAAAAAAATATGTAATTTCTAAAAAAAAAAAAACTTAAATTTATAAAATTCTAAAATAAGACATGATGCAATAATATTAGGAAAAAAAATCTATTTAGCATAATTTTTTAATCAAATTCAAACCTACCATCTATCTTAGCTCAATAGAAAAACTATAAGGGTATTTTTTATTCATCCTTATGATATCCCAAGTTTAAAAATTCAGACTAATCTCTTACTATTCGATCAAACATACAAATCAAACACATTTATCTAAAGAATAGTTTCCTTGATTGTGATCATAATCATAATTACTATTGTCACTATTCGACATTGGACGGGACTCCCCAAAATCTATTAAGAGTTTAAGATTTATTTTTATTTATAAAATTATTTTATAAAGTTTGGAGTCGTCACCTAGTATTGAAGGAATTAGAAACCTAAAATGGACATTGGTTCAAAGATTTTATAGTAAGGAGTTGGCTACTCTTTTGGGAAGATATCGATCATCCAAAAGCGTCATTTTCGAAAACCACATCTCGTTTTAGTTCTAAATTCATCTCCTATAGTATTTTATTTTTGTCAAATCATTTTTCAATTTTTAAACTCCAATTTTCCAAATCCTTTATTTCAAGCCAAAATAAGTTTTTTTTTTTTTTTTTAACGTGGCATCGTATTGAAACGATCGTCAAACTTTTTTTATCGAGAGACACATCGATCTACTTTTTGAGTCTTGACACAACCGGTGTGTCGAAGAACACTTGTTTATCAAAATAATTTTTTTGCTAACAACAATTCTTATCGGATAGAAGACTTTGTTAAAAGTTTTTTTATTTTTTTATGGAAGATCGTCATCGATCCCTAAAGAATTAAGAGACTTGACCATCCTCCACCTCGTCAATTGCCGAGTCTAATAAATTAAAAGTGACACTCATTAAGTGAATTAAAGAAAAATCAAATATTGAAACTTAAATTAATAACGAAGTGCACAAAATAAATTTGAACTCGGCAATTAAATTAATTAAAATATTTAGAGAAGATCTACACAATTTCTAAGATTAAATATAAACCGACAAACATGCAAAAAATAAATTAGAATAAAATCACATATAAAAAAAATCAAGTAACTAAATTAAATATAAAATGATAAATGTGCATAAAATTAAGTTAACAATTAAACCTTTTTACTTTTTTTTTTGGGTTTGGGCTGGACTGTTCAGCCTACCCAAAAATTCGGGCTGGCTGGACTGTCCAGCCCAGGCCACAAGTGGGTTGGCGTAAGCCCAACCCACACTTCTTTTTTTCCAAAAAAAGGAGCCCAAGAACATAACCCAAACTAAATTTTTAGGAATTTTAGATCAAAACACGTTTTATCCTTTTTTCTCTCTCTTTTTCCCGTATCTCTCTTTTGTTCTTTCTTTCTTTTTCTTTCCTCTCCTTCTTCCTCCCGCCTGGCAGATTGCTCCTTTCCATGGAAGAAACAGTCATGGTCCATCCCCCCTCTCTCCCCTCTTTGTTTTCTTTCCCGTTCTTCATTTCTTCCTCTCTTCCTTCTTTCTTCTTCTTCCTCCTTCTCCTTCTTCTTCTTTTTCTTCTTGCCGAAACTGCCATGGACGAACAAGTGGTGGTTCGTCCATGGCCACCTAATCCTTCCCCTTTTTCTTCTTTCCTCCTTTCTAGAATTCTTAATTTCCCTCTCGATCGAAAACCCCAAATCAATTTTTTCAAAAAAAAAATCCCCAATTTGGCCGAACCCTAGGTTTTGATTTTTCTTCAATTTTTTGTTCAAATGGGTCTAATTGACTTGATTTCTCTTGAAATTAAGTCAATTCAAACCTTTTAGGATTCGAATTTTTGAAAACCCCCAATTCAATTTTTGCCCCAAAATTCTCAGGAACCCTAGGTTTAAATTGGTGTCAATTGCGCTTCAATTTCGAGTTTAAACCCCAAATTGAAACCTAATTGAACTCAGTTAGCCCTAATTTTAAACCCCAAACATCAATTTCTAATCAAGCAACAAAACCCCCAAATTTGAACATTGACAGTGCAATTCGAAAATTAAGCGAAATTGGTTTACCTAGAAGAAATTGACTTGAGAAAAATGATGAGATGTAGCTGCTCCAACAGGTAATTTTTCTTTCTCTTTTTTATTTTATTTTTTTAATTTTCGGATTTTTGCTACTGCCCAGTTTTTCCTTTTTTGTTTGCTGATTTTTTTCAATTTTTTTTTTTTTTGGTGCCTAATTCCCTCTAAATTTCGGACTGAACCCTCTCTCTAATTTTCGGACCAACCCCCTCCCCCTTTTTTTTTTTTTTTGGTTATTTTCTTTCAATTTCGGGCTCCTCCCCCACCCTTTGTGTTGTGACTTGTGCATATATATATGTCTGTGAATGCTTGGTTGGTTCCCCCACTATGATGGTGGGGGATTTTGTGTGCAGGTTTGTCCAGTGGAGGGTTGGATTGGACAGTGAAGTGGGCTGTGGCAGTGGTGAGACTGCTGGAGATGTTATGGGCAACTGGAGGTTGGCAGTGAGGGTGATGTAGGTGGATGCTGCAAGTTGAAGGTTGTGAGCTGTAAAGGAGGATGAAGTTGGTTGGGATTGTGGGTTTGGGGAGAGGCTGCTGGATGGATTTCTGTTGCAGTAGGTTGTGGGCTACTGGAGTTGTAACGGCAGGGTTGGCTGCAGTAGAGGGGTGCTGGAATTGTTGACCTGAGGGGGAGGGGCTGTGCAGGAGGAATTGCAGGGATAAGGGACTGCAAGTTGCAATTCAGCTTGGGAAGATGGCAAGAAACTGCACGAAAATGCAAAAGAAAATTGCACAAGAGATGCAAGGGAACTGTCCCTCCATCTCTTCTTTTTTTGTATTTTCTATTTCTTTTGTAATTTTGTTTTGAATTCTAAATAAATGAAAGAAAATTTTTTTGATTATTTTTGTTTGTTTTGATTTTGCATAAAGCAAGCATGAATTTACATATTAAAAAAAAATAAAGAAAACTAAAATAAAAGAAAAAAAAAGTAAAATTTTGAGGTAAGACAACCATAACCATTCAGCAAGACACTCAATTCCAATCAGGAAGGAAAAGTAAAAGAAAAAAAAAAAAACCAACTAGTTCAATGATCGTCACCAAAAGAAAATCTCAACAAAACCCTACAATAAAGAAAATCTTCCATCTCATCTCTAGTTATTGTCACCAAAAGCAACAACAATAGGACTCCTAACATGATGCCTACCATCCGTCCATAATAGCGATCCAAATTCATATTCTTTAGTTGCACCATCCCCTTTAGCTTCAAAAGTAACCTTAAAGCTCTTCTCGTCGCCTGTATTCTCGAATGTCAAGATATTGGGCTCAACGGAGACCGAAATCCCATATGGTTTTTTAACGTGTGCTGCATATGTTCTTGGTAAACCTACATTCTTCAATTTTCTGATCACACTCATCGAGTTACGTACCAGCTTTATAGTTATTGAAGGATTGTTGAAATTGAAAATACTAGCCGACTCAGGACATCTATAGGGACCGTCAGCGAAAGGTTCTATCATGGTAGAGTTGTATCCGCTAGCGCAAAGGAAGTCCAAGTAATCACTGATGCTCAAGTCATAGACCAAGCCTGGATCCTGAGCACGGTTTGGTCTGATATGTCCAGCACCATAACTAAATGGTGTTGCCTTCATACCATCTCTCCCATCAATGATCGGCATCATGGTGTTGGCTCTCGTTCTTGCTGCAGCATAGAACACAAAAGAATGTTGGCATTCAAAAATCTGCTAAAACATCCTACAATATTGAAAATTTCGGAGGTCTTACCGGTTGTCATGATTGCAGATCTAATTGCAGCTGGACTCCAATCAGGATGGAGAGTTCTAAGAAGCCCAACAACTCCTGCAACATGTGGACAAGACATAGATGTGCCAGAGTCGGTGATGAAAGGAGACTTGCGCTTATCAAAGTCCAAGTTAGTAGGGCTGACTGCTTCACTAATGGCTGCTATAATATTCACTCCAGGTGCAGTTATATCAGGCTGTACATTTTGAAACAAAGGGGATTTTTAGTCCTTGTGTGTTTTACAAGGCCATTGCGACAAATATGTGAACATGGAAGACAACATATAAGATTAACAACAAAACCTTCAATATCTCTGGTGTGACAGCATTTGGCCCCCTGGAGGAGAACGCAGCCACGACTGGAGCAGGTTTTGTTCCCAACTTCGCTGTTGGAGCGGAAATATATCCCAGAGGATGGCTGTTAAATTTTGAAACACATAAGAATTGACAAAACTAATTTGTGAACTGTGAAGTGAGTAGACAAAAAAGGGAGGTGGTAGAGCATACTCAGTGGAATTAGTGTAGGCAAATACAGCAAGACCATCTGTATAAGTGATTTCTGATGCCGGGAGAACATGAGGATCTGCTATGATTTCGTTACCACTTGCCTTGTCATTGCAAAGGATCATTCCTGCTGCACCAACCATAGCAGCTTGGTAGCCCTTATAAATTCTTCCAATTTCTCCCCTGAGACACACCAATATTTTACCTTTGGCTTTCTCATGATCCAATGATCCAGGCTTACACAACAAGCTGCATAACAAATAAACAACGTCATCGCCTCTTACTCTGTACAAATTTCAATTTGATTCTATAAAAATTTGGAATAATCTTATCTTACGCGTCTGCGGCAGATGCATTGGCAGCCTTTGCTTGTTCCCCAGTAATGAGGGGATAGAATTTATTTTCAGGCAAAGGTGCAGAAACGCTTGTGCCCTGCCATGTCGAGAATGAAAAGCACTAAAGAGGCTAGCTACAAGGAAAAGAAATGAAACAAGGGTCTGGTTTGTGAAGGAATGTGAACCTGGAGGCGCTTCCCGTTATGTAACTCCACAAAAGTTTGGAACTCTCTATCCAAGGTACTTGCTCCAACAGTTATAATCCAAGGTGCAGTATTAGTGACTTTTCCGTCCATTGGTCCAGAATTTCCTGCAGAGCACACGACAGTGATACCCTTTTTACGGCATGGAATGCTGCAATTGCAAGGCCATCATTGAGGTAATTGGTAGGTTCTCCACCAAGTGACACTGAAATCACATCAACTCCATCATGTATGGCCATGTCAATGGCCTTCATGACATCTGACTCGAAGCAGTCACTGCCATTTATCGGCGGCCAGCACACCTTGTAGGAAGCAACTCTAGCTTTAGGAGAACCACCTTTAGCAGTTCCGTTTCCTAAGCCAAAAACATTTGCTCCTGGAACAAAGTTGCCACCTGCAGTTGACAATGTATGAGTCCCATGACCATCTTTGTCACGAGCAGAATTATCAGAAGAGTTAAGGACTCCTCCATATGCGATATAACCTTTGTTGAAGCATCTTGCTCCTATTAGCTTCCTGCACAAATTTCCAAACCTTTTACTTGTCTTGGAAACCCTAAATCATTTGGTTTCCATTTTGATAAATGTGGGAGTGCTGAACTAACCGATTGCAAGGGACTCCAAGGCCAGTGTCATTCTCGCATGTTCCTTTCCATTTTGATGGTATAGCCCCAATTCCTTCCTCACTGAAGCTATGTGACTCAGGCCAGACACCTACACCATGATAAAAACATCTAAATTTGGATAATTCTTCACATTATAACAACAGTTCGGAAACAAAAAACACAAGATATATCTCTTCTGATGCTTTCAAACGAGCATGTGTGTGTGTGTGTGTGTGTGTGTGTATCATCACAGATTCTTGTTCGTTTGGCCTATACTTCTGTGTTATCAAGTACTGCTCATTTTTGTAGTCCAACAATCTAATTACCGGTGTCAAGATTGGCTATTATAGAATCTTCACCAAATCTAGCTCTCTCCCACAAAGAAGAGGGGCGGAGAACACCATTCCTTTCCAATAACATGAAAGCCCATGAATGTGTTGTGTGCAGTTTTCTTCCCCGGTCCAAGAAAACCGACGCAACCTTTGGATGCCCTGCATTGACAATTAAAAATTAATTATATCATATACATGGGCAAATTCTATATGCAAACGTAAGTACATAACTTGTACTATTTTATAGAATGCACCTAACATAAATGCTCGACTACGAGAATTAATGGTGTTTTTGTAATTACTTGCAATTTCAGCTGCCTCTTCCTCTTCAAGCATGGCATTGAAGCCATTGATATGCCTGTCATACGAGTAAATAATTGCATCTCTTGCCTTCTCACTACTACAGGCATACATGAATTGAAAAACATCAAAATTGATTCTGATAACAAATTAAAAAAAAAAAAAAAAAATGTAACAAGACAGTAAAAGAAGAAGCTAGCAAATTCTTGATATATACCTTCCCAAATACGATCCAAGAAATTCTCGATGAGAATCAGCTACTGCATCAATATCAGCTTGAGAAACTCGAGGACCATGCGCATGGGATCCCATGTAAACTATATAAGGCTTTTTAACAAATCACCAAAAATAAATAAAAAAGAAACAAGTAAGGTAAGGGAAAAAAATTCACATAATGTTGAGATATTGCTAGTATATACTTTACCTTTTTGATTCCAAGAGCAGGAGTTTGGAACAAGGAGACAGAAATCATAAGCAGAAGCAGCAGCATTGAAACTTTTGGGAGCCGCATTCTTCTTCTTCTTTTTTCCTTCAATAATAATTAAAAGCCTACCAAAAAGACTAGAAAAATGTTTGTTTTTTATAAGATGATTGAAGAGAAAAGAATTGAGAACAACGGAAGGGAAAGAGAGATCAGGAAGAGTTACAAGTTGATGAGGCCAAAGTCGTAGTAAAGAAAAAGCTGTGCGAACTCTTGAATATATAGTAGTAGTTGTTCAACATTAATCAGCATCAACAGGCAGAACAGAGAAGCAAAGTGTGACTCTAGAATATATAGTAGTAGTTGTTGTTCTCAACCTTCTGGAATACAGAGAGTTTTCTTCCTGACAAGAGTAATCAGCATCTTCCTGCGTTTGAAAATGCACGGTTCTTAAGTGTTCATATTGTGACAATTTTGACTGGTTTGGTGGATAATGTAATAGTAGGTGGATATATAGCATATGCTGGTCATGTGACAAAGACTTTAAGTAACGAATTTCAAGAGGAAGATAAATTTTGTACTTTGGCTAGAATTTTCAAACATTTATTTTCTAGATCGAGCATGTCAATCTCACATTTATTGATAAAATAGTCTTCCTTCACCAAGTCATACCGATGAAGGGAGCATTAGTGTTTTGACAATTGCTAAAATAGTCTTCTAAAGCCATTAGATGTTTTGACAAATTGTCACGCTTCACATCATAAATGAATAATGACGATCACTTCAAGGAAAAAAAAATCACCATTTTTATGAAACTCTAAAATTGAAGTAATTGTTTCGACAAAATTAAGGAGCAAATAAACGAATTTCCTTTAATTTCTTGAACATGAATTCTAGTTATCTTATTTTTACTTGTATTGGTAGTAATTTATAACATTATTACTTTTTTTTCTTTTTTTTTTAGGATAATATATAGCCCGTGAATTGCTATTTCTACCAAAGAAAGAAAAACTCTATATGCTATAAACAAGAAAACTAATTTTCCACTTCAAACAGAAGCTTCTATAGCCATGAACTGGAAACAGAGCAGCACATGGTGGCCAGTCAAACAAAAACTAGATGGAATAGTAAAGTAGGTGGCGAAGAGAAGCTTCTATAACCAGAATGTCAATCTCTCATTTATTGATAAAATAGTCTTCCTTCACCAAATCATACCGACGAAGAGTCTTACCTTAACCCTCTAAGAATCTATGTGTTAGGTGACCTGCCGAGCATAATCACCTGGAGAAGGCTCTCTAATTCAGTATATATATAGATAGATCCCACTTTGTTTTCGCTTCTTTTAGACATCTCAAACACATTTCACCCAAAACCAAAAGGTCATGGTTGATGCGAGCACCATTGTCCACTGCCATCAATGCCTTCAAGGTCTGCTTGTAGCTGACATCTTCTCCATTCTCTGCCTCTCCCATTCCTGAACGTGTGCCTTCCCAAAACAATATTGCTAATTTTTTTCAAAAAAAAAAAAAAAAAAAAAGGGCAAGAGCCCTCTGTTATTGGGGAACCCCGTAAGCACTCATGCTTGTTATTGGAACTGGAAGCATTTGGGGGAGTATCTCCAAACTTAGTGAGGTTTCTCCATTAGGACATCCTTCCATCTTCCCCTCCCCTGCTTCTTTCGTTTCTTTTGACACTAACAAACTCGAATCTATGAGACCTCCCAGCATCTCTATCAGTGACCACCCTTTTATCTTCTCCCCTGACTTACCTCGTCAGGAGACACCTCTCCATATGCATACACAATATCAACTCCAATACCCTTTGCCCATTCAACCAGTACAGTCTCTGCTCTCCCAACGCTCACCACAAGATCAGAGCCTGTAGCCTTGTATGTGGTATGAGCACTCGGATCTCCACCTCTAAATGGAATGGACATTATTAATAGGTGGAGAAGGCATATGGGAGGGAAGTGCAGGAAGAAATTGAGTTTGTGTTTGGACATCGATATTAGTAAGCGAATAGACAATTTGGTTTGTAAGGTAAGGAGGACGACGGCGATGAAGTTTGCAGGTGTGGCTGGTTCTGTTGTGGTGTTGAGATTGAGTTCATGGCTGGGCAGTTGTTTTTGTGGATAGTACGTTGGTGTGAGCGATGATGGTGATGGAGCAGAAAATGGTGAGGATGGCTTAGTATCAATGGCGAGGCTACCGGTTATGGTTTGGGAAGTATGTCCACTAGCTGTTTGTGTTTTTGTCTATAAGGGAGTGAATGGCTTGTCTATTGTTGAGAGGTTGGCTGTGACTGCCTTGAGGCGGCTTGGTGAAGTTCTAGCAATGGAGGAGGCGTCGTTGGCATGGTCTGTAGAAAGGGAATGATGTTTTGAAAACCAGTTTAGAGGTTTTGTGGGTTGGAGGGTTTGAGGGGGAGCTGCTGCAACAGGGGTAGCATTGGTTTGGTGCAAAATCCAACATTAATTGCTGAGTGTAGGAACGATTTTGCAGAGAAAAATTGAATTGATTGGTCCTGGTTTTTGTTTCCAAATTTCACTTTGGTCACTTCCAATGTCGATAACATGTACGTAGCTCTATATGCTACTTCATTTTTCAAAACATCTCATCTATGTAGGGTTATAATTCTATAAAGAATTTACGAAAATTGATTTAAAGATATTTTATTTTGAAAATTAAAAAAAATATATTTTTTTTTCATGGATGAATTTAAAGTAGAATTTGTGTTGTAAAAAAATAAAAAATAAAGAATTCACGAAAATATATATTTTTTCATGGATGAATTTGCATAGCAATAGTCTTGTTGGACCACATATCAAATCCCGATGTTTTTTATTTTTATTTTATTTTTTTCTATCGCAAGAATATCATGGAATTAGTTTGTATATTAATTAAAATTAATTTTTTTAAAAATAATTTTAAAGACGCAATCACCGCACTTAGCACGATACATTTTTTTTAAAAAAAGATAATATATAACCCGTGAATTGCTATTGGAAATAGTAAAGCAGGTGGCGTCCAGAAGCTTCTATAGTCTTCCTTCGCTAAATCAAACCGATGAAGGGAGGGTAGTGTTTGACAATTTCTATCACGACCATTAGATGCTTTGACAAATTGTCACGCTTCACATCATAAGTCTTCGTAGCAGGACAATTCAAAACGTGTTCTCATTCTCAAAGTCTTACCTTAACACACATTTCACTAGCTAATTATCTTACGCCTGTTGCTCCATCGATCCATGTCTTCTTTGTCTTTTTTCAACGCCATTGTAACTTTGGCTCTCCCAATTATGCTTTTCGTGGGGAGCTCCCATGCTCAACTTTCCACAGATTTCTACTCTAAATCTTGCCCACGTCTCTTTTCAACGGTTCGGCCTGTCGTTCAATCTGCCGTAAACAACGAGAAGCGAATGGGTGCATCAATCGTTCGACTAAAGGACATTTTTAAGACTAATTCTTTTTAAATACGGCTAAAAAATATTTTTAACGCATGATTTTAAATATTTTAAAAATATTAACTACAAAAATCAAATGTTAGACTTCATTTATAAGTTAATACTTTCTTATCAGCGAATTACCACCTTTTACCTTTTGTTTGTGTCTGTTTTGTTTGTAGAGTAACGTACCCTTGTTACTACACGAGTAAAATTCCTCTACAACTGTCTATATGGAACAGCTGCTCCAGTGGTTGACGATAATGGTGATGCCACTGAGAGTGAGACCCAAGTGAAGGAGGAGAGGAGTCTCATGATAAAAAGACCTTTTGGGTTTCAACTGAAAACCTTAAATTAGGCTCCTTCTGCATAAAGCCCATAACTTCATATTTATTTTCTCTTTCTTATGAGACTTGAGAGAGCTATAAAAGCCTCTTCTTTTGTTTCCTCCTACTGCAGAGCTGCTCCTGCTGCAAAGAGGAAGAGCAAGAGCGACAAGAAGAAGAAGAATGGGAGTGATAAAAGAAGGGAAAGTGAGTGGATTGATACCAAGCAATGAGGGTTTTGCAGTTCATTATCCTGGCTATCCTTCTTCAACATCTCGAGCTATCCAAACTCTTGGAGGGACTGAATCAATTCTCAAGGTACTTCAACAAAAAAAACTCCAAATCCAGTTACAACCCTTTATTGTCAGCTTTTCTTTGTGTTATTCGTGATTAATTGTAATAGTTAATGCTGTGAATTTGGCATTTTAGGCTCGTAGTTCACAATCTAATAAGTTGGAACTGTATTTTCGCCCTGAGGATCCATACTCACATCCTGTGTCAGGAGAGCTTCGCTCTTGTCATAATATGCGTGCTTTTCATCAGATGCAAGCTTTTTCTTGATTGTGTCTCTGCACGTGAAATTTCTAACTGGGGTTTGAAGGAAACAAATTTACTTAGGTAAATAAACGTGCTAACCAAGGTATACAATTCAAGCATGTCCGGACAGATGCTTTCTTTCGAATTCTTGGAAAACTTTGTCCCTTTGGACCAGAGTTAGTTAATCATGTTTCAATGATTCGGTCTGATTCGGGTCCCTTCCCTAAATTTAGCAACAATGGACCCCATCTTCGGATATGTGTATGGATGTGTGTGGAAAAAGATGTAGAGGAAGTGAGGTCACGCATTACTAAAGTAAAAGACAACAGATGCAATAAGAAAAAGGAATGAATAAACAGAAAAAATACAAGAATATTGCTGAAGGAAAGACTTTATTGCATGCCAAAAATTTCAAAGTAAAATATTTTTCATTAATAAGTTACTTTTTAATAAGTTTTTAAACAATTTTAGGAGTAAAATATTTTCATGAATATTACTTTTTGATAATTTCTTTAAACTTAATTAATTTTCTTTTGATTTACCACCTTAATTTTGAATAGATTTTTCTCATTAAATTAATACTCCTAATGCAACATTAAATTTGATAACTAATAATTTTAACAAAAAAAAGTATTTTAGGAATTAATATTTTCATGAATATTACTTTTTGATAATTTCTTTAAACTTAATTAATTTTCTTTTGATTTACCACCTTAATTTTGAATAGATTTTTCTCATTAAATTAATACTCCTAATGCAACATTAAATTTCATAACTAATAATTTTAACAAAAAAAAGTATTTTAGGAATTAATATTTTCATGAATATTACTTTTTGATAATTTCTTTAAACTTAATTAATTTTCTTTTGATTTACCACCTTAATTTTGAATAGATTTTTCTCATTAAATTAATACTCCTAATGCAACATTAAATTTGATAACTAATAATTTTAACAAAAAAAAGTATTTTAGGAATTAAAGTAAGAACAAAAAATGACATAACAATTAATAATTTTCTTAAATGGTATAAAAAAATCAAATAAAATAATTTCTTTAACTGTAGTCAAAATCATGAAAATTAGAAAAGTATAGGTAAATATCTTTCCTTATAATGTCATGCTCTTATTATTTTCCATTTACATATTTAATACTTTGCATCCTTTTAACATCCAAAGATTTTTTTTTTTTTTCTTTTGACCAATGAACTTGCTCTAATTTCCCATGCATTTCTTCATACTTATCTCCCTATAAATATGGACTAAAACAGCCCCATTTCCACAGTGTTACAATCTATAATCGTCTAAGAATTAATTTGTCTCAGCAAACAATTACGTAGAAAAAAGAGAAAAATGGCAATGACTTTTTCCAAGATGGCATTTTTGGCCTTCCCTTTACTGCCATCGTCCTGTTAGTCTCTCTCTTCTCTCTTCTCTCTTCTCTCTTGTGGTAATAATAATATTTGGGCTTGTAATTGATGAAATAATATTAACTTGCTTGCATTTGTAAGTATTTTGGTGTCAAGTGTAGCAGGAGCAGATAGAATCAAGAAGCAAAGATAGCTTATCATTTATCATACCATTAATGAATTGGTAACACGTAGCTCTATATGCTATTTCATTTTTCAAAACATCTCATCCGCCTAGGGTTATAATTTTATAAAAAAATTACGAAAATTGATTCAAAAATATCTTATTATAAAAATAAAAAAAATATTTTCATGTGTAACTACAGCCCATTTTATCAGGATATGGATATTACATCCATATATTAATATCAAGTAAATTATAAATTACTCTAGTTTTAAGAAACGAATTAATTAATTATTCAGCTCTTATATTTTAAATTTTATTTTTATTTTATTATTATAAAAAATTAAAAAAATTGAAGAAAAAAATATAAAATTAAATGAATTAAATAATTATTTTTTAAAATAAGAAATTAATTAATTTTTTTCTCAAAAACAAAATAACTAATTTATAATTTACTCTATCCATACCAGGGATATCATGCTTCCTTAAATATGTTTTATTTTTTAAATAATTAGTTTTTAAAAACTTATCTGCCCAAAAAATTAAAATGGGCCAATTGACAAAGGCCGCTTGTCTATTTTATCAAATGGGCCAATTGACAATGGCCAGTTAATAAAAATTAAGTAAAATTAACCAACTCGCTCCCTGTCCCAGAAACTAAAACCCTAAATCCCCAAATGACGAACAAATTTAAAAAACCCTTAAAAAACTAGAACTCATTTTTTGATCCAAAAATGATAAAGAGAAGATTACTTTCTTCGCTGCTCTCATCAACCTCGCTCTCAACTCCCAAAACCACCTCAATTTCAACATTCACTCAAATTCAACCCATCAAAGACTCAAACTTTAACAATTATATTGCTAATGGGGCATCTGGGTTTATGGGTATTAGGGCTTATAGTTTGTTGAGTTTGAATGATTTGAGAGACAATGTGCCAAGGAAGCAGAAGATAAGAAAAGGTCGTGGTATTGGGTCTGGTAAAGGAAAGACAGCAGGGAGAGGTCATAAAGGACAGAAAGCTAGGGGGACTTTTAAGTTTGGTTTTGAAGGTGGACAGACTCCAATGCGGAGGCGTTTGCCCAAAAGGGGGTTTAAGAATCCCTTCAGTCTCACTTTTCAGGTATATTTTTCTGGTTTCTAAGTTGCCCATTTTGTTTATGGTTTTGAATTAGAAAAATAATGGGAACTTGGGGTCTGTTATCTATCGATTTCTAGTTTTTATTTAGAACAATGAAGCCTAATTTGTGTTTGAGATGAAAATATAGCTGTGGTTAAGTGATTGGCAATGGCAGATTGTTAAAGTTCAAATCTTTTGCATCGAAGATTTGCTGCTGAGATTGAGTACGAATGAATTTTTTTTTTTAGGGATCGTAGCGATGTGAGGCTAGTCTAAGATTATATGTTAACTTGAAAGAATGCTGAACAAGACGCCCAGAATAAATTTTGGTGTCTTGTTTTGAGTTTATGATTGTGTTATTCTGTACTATGTTTAAGCCGAGCTGTGCTAATTTGACTTGGCAAGATAGTGACCAAAACTTTCTTTTTTTAAAAAAAAAAAAAAAAAGGAACAAATCAAAGCACCACTGTCTCACTCTGTATGTACTATGTAGCCCAAAGTTATTCACATGTACAAATCATTCAAATAGTTTGCACCACTTAAGTATTTTCTCAAAATTGTGCGACCTAAATATCCTCGAGATTCTATATATATATGCAGCCACACTGGCTTCTCCTCCTCTATAGTTGAAAGTAAGAACGTACAAAATTCATGATTATTTGATTATATCCTAGTTACAGCTTTGATATTATGTAGGGAAAAAGAGAGGAATTGGCAATTTGAATTATTGTGGTGTTTTTTTTTTCATTTCTTCTTATTTTTTCACAAAGTGTCGGGGTTTATGTTCTGTTTGGTTTATCAGAAGAATGGAGGAAAACGAAAAGGAAAAACTTCTTACCTTAATGGAATGCAATCTACTGAATTTAGTAGTATTTTTTGTTGCTTGATGATTTTTGTTTTCTTTGGTATTAGATAAAGAAAAACAACCTGTAAACAAAATTTCAAACTTGTTTTGCCTATTTATTAGTTGAAATATTGTTAATGGTCTCTGTTCTTTTGCTCATTCCTTGATCATTTACTCCTATTCTTTCTCTGGCAGCCTGTAGGGTTGGGAAAAATTGCAAAACTTATCAATGCAGGGAAGATAGATTCCCATGAATTAATCACAATGAAAACCCTCAAGGTATGTTAGCATCCTTCTTTAGTTCCCAGGCTAAGCCATTTCCATGGTGGGCCTTGATTTGTGCTGATTGTTACAATTATTCCAATAGGAAACTGGGGCCATTGGGAAGCAGATAAAAGATGGAGTAAGACTGATGGGACGTGGTTTGGAGAAGATCCAATGGCCTATCCATCTGGAGGTAAATTTTATCTGAATGGTTTCTGCATTTATACTAACTTGACTAGGAGCCTTGATTTCAAGTATTCCTATGGCAAAGGGCAATCCAAAGTGCTCTGAGGCATCATTTTATAATTTATAGTTTGTGTCCAAATCCTCTGAAATTGAGTTGTTGAATTTGTTATTCTTGTTGCTGTTGGTTGAATGATGATAGCATGAAATATGCTTGCAAGCTATTAAATAAAGAAACACTGGAGTTTTCATCAGGTTGGCACTATAGGTATAGCATTCCAGCATACTGCTAAAGTTTTCCCCTTGCACTTGAATTTTTTTTCCCTCTATTGTTATTGCTGTCTGAGCTTAATGGACAAACAATTTTCTAGAAAGTTGTTAAAAATGTGCTGACTAACAGATTCTACTTCTTCTTTTTCTTGTTGTTCAAATAGGGGAAACACTTAGACAAATTATAAGAATCTGCATTATACATTAATCAGTGTTTGAAACAGGCCACTAAAGCTTATATCAATTTTGTGTGATGGAAATTATATCTTTTCCGTTTTAAGTGCAAGTTAAGATTCAGAATTCAGAAACTATTAACTCTTTTGGGTATGTCATGGAATCTTTCAACGTATTTGCTGAAACAGATTAAACTTATGCTCATAAAGGATGTATACAGGTGTCAAGAGTGACCGTTAGAGCAAAGGAAGCAGTTGAAGCTGCTGGTGGATCTGTCAGACGAGTGCATTACAACCAGTTGGGTTTGCGGGCATTGCTTAAGCCTGAGTGGTTTGAAAAGAAGGGCAGGTTGTTGCCAAAGGCTGCCAGGCCTCCACCAAAGCTGAAAGATAAAGTTGATAGCATTGGTCGCTTGCCTGCCCCGACCAAACCTATTCCTTTTTATACTGAAGAAAGGGAGGTGGCCTCTGCTCCTGCCTAGTTGATCAAACAATCATTTTGTTGGGGTCATATAAGAGTGTATGTATTTCAATGAAGAATTACTCCATAAGCAGATTTTCTTCCCCACAAGGATTTCAATCGCATTCTGTTTTCACATGCTTTCCATGAATCATGCATGTGTTTAACAAGTGAATCCGTGGGAACTTCCATTCTGTTGGGCTCTCAAGAAATAAAGGAAACATTTTGCTATGTAATTTTAGTTTCGTAATCTTTTGGAATACAGAGAGTTTTCTTCCTAACAAGAGTAACTTCTGAATGTGTTGAAGTAATCAGCATCTTCCTGCTTTGGAAAATGTAGGGAGGCAATAGGTTCTGAAGTGTTCATCTTGTGACAGTTTTGACTGGTTTGGTCCAGTGGATCAACCAAAGGGCCCATTTTTTACCTCTTGTTTTGTAATCTATTCTGTCTTTAAAACTTACCTACAACATAATATAAAGAAATCTACAATGGTTGGCTTGTATGAAGAGGCTTCTAGTCATTACAGTAAGTGATTTTGAGGTTGAATCATTATGTATGACATAAACTTTTTAAATAATTATTTTTATCTTATACGTCTAATAGAATAAGAATAAGGACATAAACTTTTTGAATAATTATTCTCATCTTATACGTCTAATAGAATAAAAATAAGAATAAGGAGCGAATAGTTTTAATCTTTAGGTTTCGGATAGGATCAAAGAACATAACATAAAGGACTATTGAAATACAAAAAGTGCAATTCCATCCTCATCTGCTCGTCAACAAAAGTGGGAAAAGTGTGGTAGATAATTACAGTATTAATTTGTCGTATCAAAAAATAATTCAATACAAGTCCTATCAGCTCTTCAATTTTTTCAGGAGGATATCAACCTCGACTCCACCCATATCTTGGTTATGTGACAAACTAGCCCCCCTTATCACCTTCAAACGGATCAATCCATAGACTTTATGGGTTTTACCAACTGCATGGGCACATCAGCCGACCCAATAAATACACTCTGGTCTAAATTGAATCACATATCATGTTCTTATGCTTGTTTTCACTCTTTTCAATCATTTCTGCCTTTTACCATTCAAACACATGGAAAAACAAACACCCTTTTTTCCCTTTGATTTGCCAAGCAAATATTGCTTTATATCTTTTCATCAACAAAAGAAATCCACCTGATTATCAATGAAAGTCATTGCTTTTGTAGTTTACTGAAGATAGATTCAACCACTAGCTATCATGCAACAGTATATAACTTTACACCATTTCGTCAAGACAAATCAATCTTCATAACAAAGACCAGACTCTTTCTTGCATTTCTGTGCTCTGTTTTGGTTCGTGCATAAATGCTAGCTAGTACAACAACAACATCAACAACAACATGTGCGTCTTAGAATATTAGTAGTAAAGTTAAAAAGGGTAGAGTCTACGTACTGCTGCTTGGCTAGGTCTAGGGCTCATCAAATGGTCCCCTGGATCCAAGCCGACTGGCCATTCAGAGTTAAGTTCCATGGTCAAAATGATTCTCCCCTAGCAGGCCTTACCTTCTTTCTCCTCTCTCTTGCCTGGACCCCTCGAGCGTTCAAAAGATCCAAAACATAAGATGAAGGAATTGGAATTTATCTTAGACAATAATAATCTCCATTATTCTCTTAATATAACTAATGCTAATATATATAGTGAGGACACAACTACAACTACCCTAACCCTGCTACAGTTTGTCTTATTGACTGGTTTTGGTTTGTTCTCCTCTAGGAATTATCAAATTCCGTTATCCAGCAACCCCAATATCGAATTAAATAACATTAAATTAACATACCTCACTACCTCAATTTGAAACCAATCAATATTTTCATTACATTAATTAATTGTCTAGAAAACTATTTCATAAGAACTACGCGTGTGTATATGTTTGTTTTTTTTTTCCTTCCAAAATTAATTAAGTAATTTTTATTATATGTTAATTCATGTTATTTTCTTAAATTTTTACATAAATGAGTAAACTATATAATAAATAGATTGAATCGAGAATAAGTTTCATCTAGTACAAGATTTTGAAATTAAACACTGATGGGACATTGCGTTTGGATTCGGAAATCTTTGCAATAGGTGGGGTCCTTAAGGATTTTAATGGATGGTGGTTGAATGGTTTCTCTTACAATATTGACTTGTGTTATATGTTCTTTGTGCAGAGTTATGACATATCCTTATTGGTTTAGAACATGAGTTATCGTCAGGTGCTTATCGAGATAGACTTTTTGATGGTTATTTAGGTAATTCAATCATCAATAAGGATGATGGACACTTATGATTCTCTTGTTATCGTGATTCAAGCGACTCTGTCAAAGAATTGATAAATACAACTCACTCAAGTTTATATAAATGCAAATAGATTGATGAATCGACCAATATCTTATGGTTTTTCTTTACCTTTTGATGTCACATATTTTTATAATATACCGAGTGATTGCAAAACTCCTTCATGAGGATAGCTTTTTCAAAATTGTGTAATGACTAATTTTTTGTATAAAGCTATAGCTCTCTTTTTTATTAAAAAAAAAAAAAAAAAAAAGGCACTCCATCACACTTTGTTATTTTGTATCTTGTAAAAATTAACATAGACAAATCAAAGGAGTTCGAGGCGTTTAACGAATGTTGAGATTGGAGTAATTAATTAATATTCTGTGAAACAGTTGTATGCAATAAATCCAATCGTACGTCCAAAAAAAAAGAGATTAAAAAAAGGAAAACATGCACACACGAATTGAATAAATTAAAAAAAAGTAAAGAAAATAAAATAATATTTTCATGGAGAGAGTGAAAAGGAGAGTGGTGGGGCATGGTCACCTTTTCCAATGAAAGAAAATCCAAGCGAAGTTACCTGTAAAACCCAGGCAGCTTTGGCCGTATCCATGGAACTATTTGCTTCACGCAAGCCGTTGCTGCCGCCTTCTCTACGACCTGTATTTCTACCTCCTCTTCATGGATTTTCTTGTCTTTGTCCCCTCCCTTTTGCTTTTCTTCTTCCTTACCAACGCCTTTAAATCCCCCCTTCTACGTTGCTTGCAATCGACGGCAGAGAGAGAGAGAGCTATATACAGAGAGATAAAGAGAGGGTTACGTTAATTAATCTCTCCATTATTTGCTGATCTTCCAGTCTTCCCTCATATCATCTCTTCAACTACTGTAAGTTTCTTAATTCACCCCTCATAATTTGCTTACCTACTCTTTGATCAGATTATGAGAAAATCATCATTTCGTTTCATCAATCAATTGAAGTAATGTAAGACAGTGGTAATTAGGATCACATGGTATGGCAATGCAGAGTATTTATCAGATTCTGTACTCGATCATTTTGCAGGTCGAGAGCACTCACTTCTTACTAGCTAGCTACTTGGCCTGAAAGAATGGCCTGCCTGGCTCCCTGAATGCCATCTCGGAAGCTTGCCAAGTGGCGTTGGCAACCTTTCGATGTGGCATGAGGGGAGTCACGCAGGCCCAACAACAGCTTCCAGGCTTCCAATATTGAATCCAGGTACCAGCAAGTACGTTCATATTCCTATATATCCTATAGAATAATTGCCTCTGCAGTTGCTAGTTCTGCTACTGCTATAGCTGTCTACTGGATAAGATCCTAACCCTATCCATGATTAAGGTAATTAAAATTAAACATCATTAATTTCTAATCAAATTAATCAAAAAGTAGCTTTTTTGCATTTTGTCAAGATATCAACATCCTAGTCTCCTTTTAAGTTGGTGATAGCTGTCTGCTGTAATACTTAATGCCATATTTGAATAGTACAGCAGTAAATAACATTGTATACTTCTTTCTAGCTGATCAGGATTAAGTTACTTTAATGGTATGATAAAAGCATGATTAGGGCAATGATATGATAGAAACTCTAGATTATTTAGAAAATTGATAGGTGCATTATTATGAATCACACAGATAACGTTTCTGAACATCAGGTTTGGCTTGTTACACAGACATTTTGAGAGACATGTGGGTGGGAAGAAGCCATAGAAGCAAGGGTGTTTTCTGTGGGCCAAATCCAATATACTAGAGAAAACTATTTCAAAATTCTCTGCAACCATTGAAAAAGATTGAAAAAGATGGATACAATCAATCAATCGAGGAACACTTGTTTTTTTCTGATGATCAATAGCTTTCTTTAATGCAATGTTCTATTTCAGTAATTTCATGGCTTTTGAAAGGAGCTATGGAAATAAAAAAGGCAAGCTTCTAAAACTATAGTAACTTCCTGTCTGGGTCTAGGATAGTTCTGTCGTTGTTACGCTGTTCAAAGGAACCACAGACGAGTCCAGCTTGAGTTGCCAAATTTGACTGACTTGGCAAGACAGTGACCAAACGTCTTAACGAAAAAGCAACAAATCACATCAACAGTTTTTCCCACTCTATGCATACGAATTCAATATTTTACCTTTTCAACTATAGCAGCCTGTACATTTTCTTTCTCACAGATTTTTAGTAAGCTTTTTTCTCACATATCTCTAATTTTTTTTAATCTGTAATTAGGTTATTTTATATCTTCCATCAATCTCAAATTACATGAAAAGATGTAAAATCATTCAAACAATGATAAACGATATTGTTTTATAATTCTATATGTTTTTTATTTACATCTAATATAGCATGATATTAATCAACATAACAAAAAAAAAAGTTAATTACAAATATAAAAAAAAACTAGAGATCCAAATTAAAAAAAATATATAATTAAGAACTTTTTTCTTTGTTCAAGGGAATTTATAATCAATTAGCCTTTATAAATCATTCAACAGTTTTTCCCACTCTATGTATATGTATATGTACATTTTCTTTCTCATAGATTTTTAGTAAGCTTTTTTCTCACATATCTCTATTTTTTAAAATCTGTAATTAGGTTATTTTATATCTTCGATCAATCTCAAATTACATGAAAAGATGTAAAATCATTCAAACAACGATACATGTTCTATAAGTTCTAAACACATAATAAACGATATTGTT